TTCTTTCACATTTAATGCATGGAGTATCCTTTCTACTGCTTATTTATTATACATAATTTTTGTGTCTATTCCTATCTCTGTTCTAATTTCATATTATTTTTTTTTGGTTTTTCTCTGGTACCGGGAACTGAACTCACGACCTTGCGCTTGCCAGGCAGGCGCTTTTGCCGCTGAGCTAAATCCCCAGCCCCCTCACCTTTCAATTTAATACAATGGGAAAGTAGTTGAAAAATATTTTACAAACTAGACGTTTTTAAAAGAAATCTTACTTGTATGCACATTTCTAGAAGACTACTACAAAGCCTGCAGCATCTGTGGCCCTGTTTATTGTAACAACTGGTTGCAGGATACATATACATGTAGTTGTTTCTTACCTCCAGGCATCACCTGGCCAACATCCTGAACAGTCAGGACTGACAACTTCTCTTCAGTGTCAACTCTGATCACACCGTAGCTCAGGCCACTCATTGACAGGACAGCTTTTCTTGGAGGAGGTCCTCCCAGGTCAGGTGGTCTGGAACATGAGCACCAGCAGGCTACCTGAGTGGGGGCTGGGTGACCCTTTAAGGAGAGAGCACTGACGGTCCACCTTGGCCACAGCACAATTCCACACCACAAAACTGCCAATGTCAGGAAGCTATATGTTTCTAACGCCTTCAAAACAAAGTCTCCAAACCATTTCTGCAGTGTGACCTTGAAGGTGACTGTGACTGCAGGGCAAGGGGTGCCATTCTGCCCAGGCAGGTCATTAAAGGTACTCAGTTTCCACTGGTCATCCTGGGGTACCCACCAGGTGAGCAGAATGACCAGCAGAGGTCACCAGGCTGTGATGCACTCAAGGGACAAAAAGAAGCCCGGAGACTACACTTGCAGAGCTTGGTCAGCCCCATAGTTCCAGACTCCATCTCCCTGTACCACAGAGGCCCAGCAGAGCCCTTCCCAGACCTCTGTCCCACAAATGCACAGGGAACACTGGAGGAAATTCAATGGCACCATTCTAAGCTTTGAAGGCGGGGGTGAGCCATTAGCCACAACATTAGGAAAACAAAGGGCAGCATTTCCGGGGGCAGGGGCATTGGAGAGATCTCATGGCAAAGGGCACCTCCCTCAGAGTGAGGGGCAGTTCCTCAGTTCCAGTGTTTACTACAGCTAACGATGACACCACATCATCTTGATGTGGAAAAAAGCACTTAGGAAAATAATAAGCCAGCATGTTGCAAGAACCCAGTACTCAGTCCAAGGACCCAACTCCCTGGGCAAGTCCAGGCTGGGGAGGGCATGGGGCCTGGGCCACACCACTGCTGTAGAGATGAGCTGGCACACTGATGGCAACAGCTACTGCCTTGAGATTCCTACTGTTAGAAATGAGTTAGCAACTGAGTGCTCCCAAGACTCAGCAGGTGACAAGTTACCTGCGGATGGCAACCGTCAGGCCCTCAGGAGAACAGGCACAAGGGCAGATGGCCTCTGGCCTCAGGCCTCTGCACTGGAACACATTGAGGAAGGCATCACAGGAAGATATAGACCCTGTGCAAAGCAACAGCAAAGGAGCATGAGAGGAAACCAGGCCAGCATCTGGCAGGCAGTAACAGATCTCCAGGACACCCACAGCTCTAGTGGCTGCAAACATTTCCCTTGTTCCGCCTGCAGTAAGTCTGTCACAAGGCAAGCTACACTCCAGAGAGGCAGAGCCTAAGAGACTGGAAATCCCTTAACAGGTCTTTTGTCAGCCCTGTGTGTTAATGAGGCCTTGCCCTTCCCTGTCTTCTCCAAATGAGGTGGTAGGAACAGTTCTCTTCATGTCAGGGGTTGCAGAGTCTCCTGGGCAACTGAGGACATCTGTGGCTCAAACCTTCCATGTCCAAAAAAGGCCCAGCCTGGGTACCTGAGGGCTGTAGCGGCCTCAGAACTGTGCAGTCTGCACGGCTGGCTCCAGGGCCACCTCTGCATCTACCCAGGAACTGCCCCCCCTCTCCCTCCATATCCCTTCCTCTGGGGAGGCTCCTGTCACCGTAGGGTGACAGAGTGGCAGGCCTCAGGAGTGGATGTTAAAGAAGTGTAAACTCCCAGAGCTTAAGGTGCCACAGACCTAGGACCACTGGGACCTAAGAGACTCATCAAAAATCTCTTTTAATCCAGGGCAGAACAGAAAGGAGGGAGCAGTTCACAGTGGCTGTCAGACTTTGTGCTCTTAGGGGGAAAGGTGTCTCCCAAGAAGATGAACACAGACTGTTCAGAGCACGAGGGACAGATGGGTACCCTGAAGGACAGCAGGTGAGCAGCCTGTCAAAGGTGACACGGGAGAGCTGCGTGTGTCACAGGGAGCATGGACACTACACGCCACAGCAGGGCTGCCACTGACAGAGAGGGCATGGGCGGGAGAGGCACACTCAGATTCGGTGGTGCAGACTGTGGTGGGTCTGACCAGGAACGTGGCCTCGGGCATTGGGTGGGGAGGCTGAAATGCAAGCAGAGCTGTAGGATGCAGGCTCTGCTTATCTCGGGAGTGGATGTGGATGAGAGATTCAGGCTACTGTGTACTCCATTTTCTAAGAGATGGAGTACATGGCAGAAGTGAGTATTTTATGTGACAGTGACAGTGAAAATGCCTTAGTTTTGTTTCTCCACAGAGTCTACTTCAACAGGTTGGCCATGGATCTGGCAATCAAGGTCTGTGGGAGGGGATGTGGAGGACCTACTCACATGGGTTGGCGCCATCGGCCACAATCAGCATGCGCAGGGAGCTGAGACTGACGTCCCTCTGGCCTCGCTGAGCCAGGAGTGACCAGTGCATGTCACGAGACTTCACCAGTGCGGCTCGGGCTGCAGAGAAGGCACCGTCTGTGTTACCGCGAGGGCAGGCACCCTGACACTCCAGACTCGTGCAGAAGCGCAGCACAGAGGGCATAGGTCCTGCTATCCCAGGTCACATGCCTTCTCTGCAGCGCTTTCTCACATGCCATCAGAGCTACTTCAGCCCTCAGTCCTCTGCCCTTAGATATAACTGGGCATATCTGGACGTGATCCACACAGTCGTTTTCAACTTCTTTTTTCTCATTAGCTCCCTACTGTGCTGTACAAATCTGCCCATTTTACCTCATGCCACGCCCTCCTCGGGCACTGGCCTTGGCTTCAGTAAGTCGCACTGCCTGCACCACTACAGCACCTGGCTGCCAGGCTGTGAGGTGAGAGAAGCCTGAGATTTGAGCACATGGACTTGGCCCTCAGCGATGACTGCACTGTCAGTGAGTCCCAACCATTTCCCCACAAACCAGCACAAGCAGACCCTGCTGCACTTGGGTGCTATCCTGGAGACCTGGTAGGGCACCGCTGTCACCACAGGCAGGCACATCAGCATGGGTGGCCAGGGCCACACTGTAGTTCTACATACTGGTTTTGTTCCTCCAAGATTTCTTACAGAAGGGTGAGTCAAGCGAGGGCAGTGTGCATCACCTTTGTAGGAACACACTTTCTGAATCCAGGAGAGTGGATTGACCTTCATCAGTGCATACGGGATGCTGACCACGTGCATCCTATTCATGACACTCTGAGAGAGAAAGAGAGATGAACCCACCGGGGTGAGCAGGATTAAGCTACACCAGAAAAGTAATACCAAACCAACACACCCTCACATCTATATTCCATAGGCTTGGCTCACGACTAGGTACAAAGCCAGTCATTAGCAAACAACACTCACTGTTAACACTCCATGCCACAGACCAGCATCCCTTTTGAAGTCCAACACATTTGTTAATGTCTCAGCTGAAAGCAGACAAAGAAGGTTAAACCAATGAGCAGCACTTCACAAACCTTGCACAATTTTCTAGAGAAATTCTAATATGAGTATGTCACAAACACGTAACAGCTTAAGAAAAGAACAGCATTTCCAAACACCATACACCAATAACTGCACAATCTTCATTATCTACTGAAATTATTAGAAGCATACAATTTTGGATTGAAATACAGGACAATCCTTACCATGAATCTGAAGCCATAGGGAATGTCATGTACTAAAGAAACTTTATGATGTGGCACCACACACTTTACCTTGGACACTCAGTGTCACACCCAGAGGCCCCTCCACCACAGCTCTCACACCCAGAGGCTGTGGTCCTCTATCTTTCTTCTGCAGAGCAGTGGATGTGTCTCCTTCAGATAGCTGCACAGTCCTCTGCTCAGCCCCAGCCAAGTCCTCTGGCTGCCACCTCGCACAGGGCAGAGGACACTGTCCAGGGCTGTGGACAGACCTGGTTCCTCTCCAAGGCCATCAGTGCCCCAGAGGCCCCTAACACAGAGCCCAGGTGAACAGAGGGGTCTGATTCATGTGCCAGGAAGTGCTGCTGCATCCTGAATATCAATGGTACCATGCTCTCTCCTTGTCAGCGATAGAATCCAAGTTAAAGGGAACACTCATGGCATCAGCAGTGGAACTGAAGGGAAGGAACCCATAGAACTTGATTTGATGGGTCCAACTTAACATTATTAAAACCCTTGGAAATATCTGAAGTCCTTTTTCAATCTCCACAGAAGTCTAGTAGGTCCACAAGCTACCACTTGCTTTTAAATATCCCTACTGTAGACATTTAAATATACACCCAATTTTACTTTCTAGCTTTGTTCAATTCTAGTATTGTAATGTAAGAAAACTACCATGAGTATAGTTTTACAGCTTGTAGAAGTTCTCATACTGTACTCCATAAGCACATATAATTATCTATAACTATAAAATATTAATTTAAAATATTTCTCTAAGGTAAATATCTGATGTTTCACAGGAAATTGGGAGATGCCTGTACTTCACCAAGACACAACTGATGACCAGACAGAAAACACTGAAGTGTTTACATGCAGGAGAGCTTAAGCCAAGACCACCTTCACAGATAACATGGAAGGAAACATGTCCCAAGCAGTTTTCCACTCTTCAATGCAACACGCACTACCCTTCAGTACCCTCCAGGATGAGCCAACCCACTGTGCACACACATCACTGGTTTGTAGGTTCATGCTCCCTGAAATCAATATGCACATGATCTGACTTAAAAGAGCACCCGTGGGGCTGCCCAGGCTCAACTGAGACACTTTACCCTCCTGAGCAGTGAGCCTGGCACGCCATAGGACAGCAGCATCCCTGGGCAGCATAGCCAGACCAAAGGGCAAAGGCAACACCCAGGCTGGGTGCCACATGGGAGTGACGGCATCCAGGGTATGATCAAGTACATCAGAGACCTATGCAAGGCAGGAGGAGCTGCCTTACCTTCTGAATATCCGCATGCCTGGGTCAGTGCCCGGCAATGCGCCAGTAGAGACGCATGGGACACCGTGACACCCACTGTGCTGCCTTCTTTGCTGGTTTTATACTGAAAAAGATTTCAAAGGAAAACAATGTTATATAGTATTTCCAGAAACCACAGTGGGCAGAAAGGAGGCTGGAAGAATTTTTAGAGCAGTAGCTGTGGTTGTTTCTCCTCCATGGGCACCTGAAGCACTTCACACCCAGTCCTGAGGCATCCAGGGCAGGTGCCCAAGGGACCAGTGCACATGCTCCATCGTTACTGTCTGCACTCCAGGGGCCCAGTTAGAGGGGAAGGAAGCCAGAGAAAAACCTAAAAGGATCTGAGTATAGAAGTTCTATAGGACACTATATATTTCTAGGGCAAAGTAAAAATGAAAACAAAAACCAGCTATCTTCCTATGAAAAAGCTCAAGTCCATAGGAATATATCTGTGTGCTGACTGAGGGGCATCTTTACCTCAATGTAGGCGGTCCCAGCCTGTGTGTCTTGGGCCAGAGGGTGCCAGTCCTTGGGGGGCTTGGCCAGATGCTTCCCGTCAATCACAAGCCAGGCAAGGGGAGGCCAGCCTGTGACAGCAGACAGGGAACACGCATCACTGGCAGTCAGAAGGCTCTGCTCTCCAAAAAAAAAAAAGAAGAAGAAGAAAAGAAGGCTCTGCTCTTGTAGCCACCAGTCTTGGGTAACTCAGGAACTCAAATTTTAGTCTCATTTCATTTTGGCTTATACAGGTACCTCTGGACAACAGTCACCACAATGGACAGCACAAGTGGAGACATCGAATTAGATACAAACCAAGATCCAGGACCTTGAACAAGGTATCACTTTTGATGAAGACCTGTCAACTCCGTACTGTTTAATTTCTGGACTGCTATGCCTCTAGGGTGTAGGTTAACAAAGGCCAAAGCCCTGACTCTGCAGTGCCCCTGGGGGCCATACCTTTGAAAGTCGCCACCTCTCCTGTCTGCGCTTTGGGGAGGCCCTTCTGACAAGCATCTGTAGTGAGGGCCAGGGCGACGCCACAGCTGCCCAGCAGAAACCCGACCTGCTGGCTGCCTGCATCCTGCAGAATAGCAACCACAGAGAAAGAGGAGGCTAGAAGGAGCACAGCCTGGCCACCCGCGCCACCAGTGCTCCACACCATGACCAAGCACAGGGTGCCTCCCTTTACTAGCCTACTGCCGGTATCTTACTACATTTTCATGGAAACAGTTCATAAACTATGACAATTATTTTTAAGTTTAAAAGACATTTTTGTTTTTGCAATAAATGAAATATGATGTTCTACATAATGGGCTAATTTTTTGAAGTTTATTTTACAAATTACATTCAAAAGCATTTTAATAAACTCTTAAAACAACGCCATTGAAATTTGTAGTCATGCTTGAAATTTCCAAATTAATCGGTAAGCCCTGATACAACAGTAATCATTTCCACACAGAAACACCTCTCCTTTCTTTCAGGTTTTCCTCTGTGCATGTCCTTCACCCAAACTCTATTGCTTTCTTCATGTGAGTTTTACAAATCCCTAGTTTCTTATGAAACACTGTATTCAAACTCCTGAGGTTTATTTACCAATTTTATTTGTGGGACTCTTAGACACTGGTTGTTCAAAGTATTCACTTTTAACACCCCAAACACAGGGACAGGGTGATAGAAAACTCGACTTCTAAAGGGATGCATTTCTACAATCAATTATTGATATCTGTATCTAAAATGATATGGCTACCTAGAACAGGAGCATATCCTCCACATTAATAATTCATCAGCAATAAAACTGCCTTCTATCATAAGTGAACAGAAATGAAGAATTTCCATTCAGCTTATTCAAAACTAAAATCATCAACAATCATATGGTTTTCAGTAAACGTTTAACAAAATCTTGTTGAATCATACATTCTGATCACTGAAGGGGAAAAATGCCCGTCATTTCTGTTGGGAAATTCAAATGGGTGACAGGACAGTACACCTAAGCAGAGTGTACCTGGAATCTCTGCCAGCAAGGAGACTGCAGACAAACCGCATCTAAGTGCTCTCGGAGTTCTGCCTGGCATGCCTGCCACTAATAAACTCACAGCAGCCGCTGGCTGCCTGGCCGCACCTCAGATTGAAGGGGAAGGGAGTACCACAGCCTGGAGTATCCAGTTCAGAACAGAACTGCAGGAGACTGAGCTTCAGGTCTGGCCCAAGTTTGCTACCTTTCTTGTTAACGGCACTTCTATGGGGACAGGAACCAGCTCCGCCAGGAGACACCCATAAAACGCAACCATGAACATCACGGGATCATTATTTGGAAACACGAGTGCCACCTACAATGGTACAAAAAAAAAGTCATGAAGTCTACTGGGGAATGATTGAGTCTTTTCAACTTATGCTCATCCACATTATGTTAGAAATAACTGGCCAGCTGAGTGCTGCCAACCACTTCACCTCCATGTAAGACCCCTGTCCTCTTGGTCCTGCCTGGCTGCTCTGTGACTGCTAACAGGGGTCATTCTAGGACCTCTATGTGGCTCCCTCATTTGGACACCACTCATTCATTTGGCTGAAGCACTGGGAACCTGCCAGGAAAGAATGCCTGAAAGCCAAGTTATTTTGAGTCTTGCATGTCTGAAAATGATCGCACCATCCTTACACTTCCTGAATGTCTGGGAATAGAACTGCAGGCTAAAAGTCATACTTCTTCTGGATTTCAACCATTATTTTACTCAGTTTGAACTTTATCACTTAGAAGTCCCAAAGCCACAGTGATTGGTATTTCTCTGCATATGCTGAACCCTCAATCCCTGCCCCAAAGCGATGTGATTCTTCTCTGTACCTTTGGAGCTGCTCAGCACTGCAGTTATGTTCTGTGCCGTGAGTCTGCTGTCTTCACTCAACATGTTAATGCCCTCCAGCTCCAGGACCTTGTTCTACATTGCTACGGTCATGTAATGTGTTCTGCTTTCTGTTCTCCTTTTTCTTTCTGGACTCCTAGAATCAGTCCGGCACTGGGCTTTCTTGATCAAGTCTGATTTGGTCCCATTCTTCCTCCCAATTTCCACCACTTGGTCTTTCCTACTCATACCCTTTTCTTGATTTATGGAATAGCACCTTCATCTCAGATCTCTAGGGACACTAATGTTTAGAAAATTTGTTCTCTGCATCTACTTTTTCTCCTTCATTCCTTTCTCTCTCATTCTCCCTCTTCATTTTTTTTCTTCCCTTGAATATGCCTGGCCACAGCGCATATTAAACAGTGAGATCCTGAAAGAGTTTCTCAGAACTTTCTATCAGCTTATTAACCTGCTCCTTCTCTGCTGGGCTATCTTGCCATTAGGGGTCTCACTGGTTTGTATGTTGATTTTCACCACATTCTCCTGCTTTCCAGCAAACTTGGAATGTCAAGGCTGTTTAGCTTACTTACAGCAGTGCAACCCGACAGCACCTTCTACAGTGACAGAAAAGCTTTTCTTCCAAACTGTCAAAAACAGCAGCTACTAGCCCAACGTGGCCACTAAGCCCTTCCTGTGTGGCTGGTGTGACTGAGGGACTACGTTTTGAGGTTTATTTAATTTTTGTTAATTTAAGTAGCCCTATGTGACCACTGCCAACCACATAGGGCAGTGCAGGATAATAAACCAGCTTCTACTTCCTTTGCTTCTGTTTTGGCAGAAAGACAAGAGGAGATTGCCTAGCCACCGAGATAGGAAAGGAGACAAATATAAAACATTTGGAATTTCAAAGGAAGGACAATATTGACTCATGAAATCTAGTATATGGAAACTTAAAATTTATTAATATCAATATATGCAGTTAAATGGAAAATAATTTAGAAAATCAGAGGATAGATAATAAGGGAGAATAAGAATATAGTTTTGTTCTATATCACAAACTTTTTCCATGTTTAATATTTTTTCATTGCTGACTTCAAGTCCCTTGCACTATTGCTATAACCCTAACCATCTGATAGAACAGGTTTCAGTAAAATAGGTCTTTTAGTCTGTGTTCTGCTCACTCTGAAAAAGCCACACTCTGGTACTCACTCTGTCTCCGGGCATAAGAAGTGGTTCATTCTTATTGGTCAGTTTGTTAAGAAGAGTATAAGCCAGTTTTAAACTCCGACTCCAAAGTTTGCCTAAAATGAAATGAAAATACTAAGCAATGTAAAATTTAAAAACTATTAGTTAATGTTTTAATGTTGCAATCATCATACTCCATAACACACTCTTAACCTATTACTAAAAATTCAGAGTTTTCAACTGATAACTATTCTGCACAATGCCATAGTGAAGATTATAGTTTTCTCTTAAAAACAAGGTATTTATTTTTCTTAATACAAAATTAAGACAGGATTTTATTACGGAAATTCACAGTATAAGAGAGTCAGCAGATAAAGTGATATTCGGTGTAAATATATGGATATACACATATGTACTATACGTCTATGTGTAATTTTCAAGAAATGGGCTCACACTTCACCCTGCCTTTTTCAATTGACACTGCACTGTGCACCCACTCTCATGACATTAAATATGCCTCCACCACAGAACTGACAGGAGTAGCAAGTCAATCTTCACGCAGTTCATGAGGTGGCCCTATCCTCCCCTTGTGGTTTACTCAGGAGAGCTGCTGGCTGATGAGTGTGTGCGTGGCCTCACACAAGGCCCAGTGGCCAAGGATCACACTGTCCTGCTGCTGAGCAGGCTCCATGTCTAGCACTCAGTCCTGCTGAGTTCTCAACAACAGAGAAAGCTTGGATGAGGAAGACAGGAGGCAAGACAGAGGAGAGGTGAGAGGACTGGAGGCATCTGGGGAGATGGACAGAGGCAGAGGTGATAACGAGGTAAAAGGATAGAGCCCTGAAATCTGCTCCCAACACCTAAAGTGGCCTCGACCTCACCCTGCACAGTATGTTGAAAACACAACACAGATGTCAAATTTTGACCCCACTCAAATTCCTGTGGCACAAGCATGGCATGGGCAGCCATCCCCTAGGAGTGAGCGCTCAAATTCCATTGCAGATAATATTAAACAAGGTGTCACACTGAAGTGCTTGACCTATGGGACCTGAAAAGAATTTTCAACTCAAAATACAGTACTGTGTTAGTCTACTTCTAAGGGTCAACTCAAGATGTTAATAATTAAAATATATAATGATTTTGAAACTGAATCCAGTTATATACAAAAGAAGTACTGCATTGTGAACTAGTCAGTTTTACACCAGGAATGCAAAGAAATTTAAGAGAAAACACACACAACTTGTCTCAATCACAGAACCAAGATGAAAAATAAAATAATCCTCTCAATAAGCACAAGAAATAAATAATCATTCATGATTTTAAATGATTTTCAAAATCCTTCTTAAACTAGAAATAAAAAGAAACAGCAGTTCTGGAGTCCTCCTTGGTGAATGTCTTTATGAGGTATGACTTTTAAAAAATACGATAAGGGCTGCAACTGAGTGCCATCCAATGAAAAGACTGGCTCCTAAAAAGATGACACTGTGTCCTCGTACAACTGAGTCACCAGATCATACAACTTCTGGCTCTTCCTCAAAGTCAAAATGACCGTGAAAGGGAAACATTTTGAATCAATTCAGGACACCAAGGCAGCCACAAAGCATAGCCAAGGACACACACAAATCAAACACAGCATCAATATATAAGCCATGTGGTTATCATATAGTAGAACAATAAAACATTTTAATGATACCATTACAATTAGATCAAAATATACACACTAAATGCCTAAGACTAAGTGTCACGAGAAATATGCAAAGTTTCATAGATAATTATACAGCACTATTGAGACAAAAGACTTAATAATGTAATGCTCAAAGAAAGTCAAAGCAATGCTCACTGAAATCTCAGTAAGTAGCATGTGACACTCCATAAGCTAATTCTAAAGCCAGCCCTGAAATATGCTGGGCAGAACAACTAAAAGGCTCTGGAAAAAGATGAGAAAGGAAGACTCTGACGTTGAGACCATAAGCAATGGATATCAGGAATGGCTATTAGGAGAGCTTGGTCCAGTGATAAGGATGGCCAGTCAGTCAACAGGTCAAAGGACAAGTGCAAGACCACACCCATGATAACCAGGCACACCTGTGATACTAGCACTCTGGGAAGCTGAGGCAGGAGGACTGCAAGTTGAAGCCCTAACTGGGCAACTTAGTGACCCCATCTCAAAATTAAAAAAAAATAATAATCATAGGAAGGGCTGGGGATGTAGCTCAGAGTCCTGGGTTCATTCTGCAACATAGAAAGAAGGGAGGAAGGAAGCAGAAAGGAGGGAGGCAGGCAGCGAGTGTGGCAGAGAAGGAGGGAGGGAGGGAAGGAAGGAGGGAAGCAGGGAAGGGGGGATGGAGGGAGAAAAGACAAGGCCAAATCCCAAGAGTGTAGACTCTTGGACTGAGAGCCCAAGTGTCACAGCAGCAGAGTGGGACAATGTCCTTCCTATAGCTAAGCATTAACAGGTGGTGACCTGCCTTGAAAAACTGACCCATCTCTACCCCATAAACAAAAATGCAAGCATGAGTTCCAGAGGGATGTTCTGTGTAAACATGAACAAAGTAAACAAATGTGAGCAAAACACTTTCCAAAACTAATCAGATAACTTTGTCTCCCATCCAAATACTAACCAGGCCCGACCCTGCTTAGCTTCCAAGATCAGACGAGACCAGGCACATTCGGGGTGGTCTGGCCATAGACAATCAAGTAACCTTGTGGTGGAGGCCTATGGAAAAGTCTTTAAACAGAACACATAAGGCATGAACCAGGGAAGAAAACATGAAACAGGACAGAACTTACATTCCCTGAACCACACTACAGATTGAAAGGTAAAGCCACACAAAGGAAAAGACATGTACAGCACATCCCTGACAAAGGGCTGACAAGCTAAGCAAAACAGACTTACTAAAAGTGACCCTATACTCGTAAAAAAGTACATGAGATTCAGTGGTTACTTAATGAAAGAGAAAACCCAAATGATTGGAAAAGATCTCCACTGTTACAGTTCAGACCTAGAATGCCCCCAAAGCCCTCATGTGTTCCGAGGTGGGGTTGTAGGAGGGTGACTGCATCACGGTGGGGAGTTACAAGCATGGGTGGATTTATCTACAGAGGAGTTCGGTGTGAGGCTGGAAGAGGCAGCCCCTGGGCATGGCCTGGAAGGGCACCTCCCTTCCCAGCTCCTGTCTTCACTCTCTCTCCAGGCCGCAGTGAACTGAGCTGCTGTCCTTCACTAGGCCCCTCTGCCACGCTGCTTTTGCCATGGAGCTGGCTGACTATGGGCTGAAACCTCTAAAAACCACAAGCCAAAAACAAACATCTCCTTTAACCTCTGGGTGTCAGGGGTTTTGTCCCAGTAACAAGAAAGTAACGAAGACACCAACATATCCAGTTATCAAGAAAATGCACATTAAAAACATGTTGCAACAGCACCAGCAAGATGATAAAGTTATCTCCATATGTTAAATTCCAATGCTATCATATCTACTAATTAAGAAAAATCCATTCTCATTAAAAAAAAAAAAAAAACACATTGCAATAGCAAGATTTTCTGACTAGACGAGCTAAAACTATCAAGCCTGACAACACACTCGTAAGTAAGCGTGACCTGGAAAAGCATGGCTGTCTAGCAAGTATGGCAAGGCACACAATCCCAGACTGAACACTTTCACTCCCAAGTATTCAGCCTATAGAATTCATGCTGGTGTGTAGGGTGGCACCCATCATTCCACAGTACTGCTTCTAACAGCCCCTGTTGGAAACCACCAACTGTCCACCAACAGTACACAGAATAACAAGATTCTGGAATACTCCTTCCTCTATAACAAGGAATGAGTTACACATAACATAACATGAACAAATTCTAAATGATCGTGCTTCAAGTAGGAAATAAAGAAGTCACCTGTCAGAGGCAGCAAGGAGTTGCTGAGCAAAGCTGACTAGAAGAGTTCAGACTGCAGAAAGTAGCCTTGGGAGGGGGTGCAGCTGTTTGTGTGGGGTGTCTGTGAACCAGGCGCCCACAAGGACCTCACAGCACAGGCAGCCCCTCAGGAGACGTGCGAAGTTCTGAGGGCTCAGGACAAAAAAGTTTTAAAGCTTACAGAAAGAATAAATCTAATAAAAACTGCTCAAGAATTCTGTACTCAAAACCATGAAAACAAGGTCAGGCATAGTGGCACATGCCTGTAATCCCAGCACTCTGGAGGCTGAGGCAGGAGGACTGGTGCAAGTTTAAGGCTAGCCTGGGCTACAAAGTGTGTTCAAGGCCAGCCTGAACTGCATAGTGAAACCCTGCCTCAGAAATAAAAAAAAATTTAACAAAAAAACAGAATGAAAACATTATTAAGAGAAATTAAGCCTTTAAAAAGGGGCACATATTGTACAGTCATGAACCGGAAGATTCCATAACCACACTACCAATCATTTGCAAATTCAACTACAGATTCAATAAAATGCCAAGCCAACCAGGAAATCTCATGGAAAGTGACAAGTTGGTTCTAAAGTTTACTTGGAAATGCAAAGGACCAAGAACAGCCAATGCAATCTTATGGAACAATCACAGAGCTGGAGGACACGTGTCCCTGAGGCTGAGACTCAGGAGGTATGGCAACTGAGAGTGTGGACAGAGCTACCACAGGAAACAGTCAGAAACATACCCACAAGTTTATTTTTTACCTGACGTGTGACAAAGCAGTGCTGCAGTCTGCGGGGGAAGGACTGCCTTCCCATAAATGATACAGAGCCAACCAGATATTCATAAGGGAAGAAAATGATTCCAGCCTCACATCATACACAAAGCTAACATCTAGATGGAGTGAAACTCCTAACGTCAAAAGGGAAACAATGGAGTTTTTACAAGACTTGTAGAATATCTTCATGACCTCAAGTTTGGCAAAGATATCCTAAACAGGACAAAACTAAATACAATAAAAAGGGGAAAATATATAAAAAAGACTGTACCAAGCCTTTTCATTTATCAAAAGTCACAAAGAGAAGTTTTAAAAGGCAAGTCAAACAGTGAGAGAAGATGATTATAAAACATGTATCTGATAAAAGGTATGCATGAAAATGAACAAGGTTAGCAAAGCAAACAAAAATGAGCCATAGGTTATAATAGTTTATAATAGAATATTCAAAGTTGGGTGTGGTGATTCTGAGCAACACAGACTTATTAAAAGTAATCCTCTATTCATAAAAAAAGTACATAAAATTCAACAGTTACTTAATCAAAGAGAAAACCCAAATGATAGGAAGAGATTTAGGTTCATACAGGTTCATGCTTATAATCCCAGCTCTCTGGGAGACTGAGGCAAGAGGATCATAAGTTTAAGTCCAGACTGGGCAATTTAGCAACTTAGTGAGATCTCGCCTCTAAATAAATAAATAATAAAAGAGGATATTCAAAATACCCTAAAATCAGATGAAAAGCATCATTAGCCATCATACAAATGCATGCTGCAAATCAGTATATCTCTATACTACAAACCACTTATTCACAATAAAAACTGAAAGTACACAGAGACAGTATCAGATGTGGTAAGGATGTGGAGCAACAGAACACATGACAGCTGCTCTGGGAATGAGCTGCTGCAACCCTCTGAAAAACTGGTGGATCCTGGTGTGGTGGCACATGCCTATAATCCCAGCACTTGGGAAGCTGTGAGGAGGACCACTCTGAGTTCAAGGCCAGCCTGAGCTAAGTAGTAAAGTAGTGAGTTGAAGGGCAGCATGAACTACATAGCAAGTGCTGTCTCAAAAAAAACAAAAAAAAAAAACCAAACCAAAATAAAACAAAACAAAAGCTGGTGGAATGTCCTAACACTGAGCAAACCACTCTGTGTTCACACCTAGCACAGACATCTACAGTTGCTCCCCAAAGGACTCCAGTAAGAACATTCATAACAAGGCTGGGTGTGGCTCAGGGGTGCTGCACTTGCTTAGCATCCACAAAGCCTTGGGTTCAGTCCCCAGCACTGCAAAAACCAAACCAAACCAAACCAAACCAGAGAACATTCATTAGAACACGGTATACCATAGCCCCAGATGAGAAACACCTTGGTATATTCAGCAAACACAGTAATAGTCACCAGTGAGAATACACTACCACTTCATACAGCATCGTGGATGAGTCCCATGCCTGGCAAATGAGTGCAAACGTGAACAGTATCTTTTATGTAATCTGACTTGCATAACACTTATAAATCCAGCAGTCTGAGTGGCTGGGTAATGGATTCCCTGCCCTCAGGACACATTCACTCTGCAAAGGCATCAAACTGCATATGTGCCTATGAATTGTGTTACACAAAAACATCATCAAGCACCAAAAGACATCAAACACAAAAAAACTGCTGCATAATTTCATTTACACAAAGCTCAAAATCATACAAAACTGAACTACACTGTTCAGAAAACACACAAACACTACACCCGTCAATGGTCAGAACAAAGTCAGCAGGTAGTCACATGCTGTGTGTCTCTGGCACTCTGGCAGCTGTGCTGGCTTTTTGGGAAGGAGCTTTATGACACGCATCCACTGCTCATCCATGCTGTCCTGCTCTGTAATAGTTTACAGCTGAGCAGGAAGCACAATTTTCTGTGAACACTTGCCATAGGTGAGAGTGTAGACGGGCTTCCCTGCCGTGTCCAGCGCAGTCAGACAGGGGGCTTTGGGCTGTGTAGTGCCCCACCGCTGCAGCGCAGCCAGCAGCGACGGGGGCCAGGAGGTCCCCACCGCCAAGGGCTCTCCTTTCAGCACCACCATCTGACTTCCCTCAGGCTTTGGCTGATTTGGATCCGGTTGCTGAACTATAAGCAAAACCAAAATTTAAAAAAAATTAACATTTCACCATGCCATGCACAAATTGTGTTCTTAAGCACTCATGTTTTGTAATTTTGTTTTTAAAAACAACTACGAAGAGCTGACAATTATTTGTTTAGATTTCTTTACCATTATCATAGCAACAGACCAATTAACCAGAGGACTAAAAGATTCAGTCACAAACAATGATGGTTTTGAAACAATAGTAAAAACCACCCACAACCCTGGTAGCCAGCGTCTCCCAGGACACAGGCGGCCTCAGGCTGGTGTCTGGGTTCCCCATGGCAGCAGCGCAGCACAGTACTTCAGCCCAGCCCTATGCCAGGCACTGCGTCCCAGTAAACAACAGCGTCTATCTCCACAGCAGGGAGTGTGGGGTACCTGCGCGATAGCGGCCCTCACAGGCTGGACATGGGTACAACTTCTACACTGGCTTGGGCTTGTGATGTTCTTTCTGCCTTTCATTAATATTCTTTGTAAAATATAAATCTATATTCCTTGTTTGCTATCTTAAATATACCTTCCATTCATAAACAAGAGGCTACAATTCTAAGAAGGAGCCAAATTTACCTGAAAATTAAATATTTTAAAAACAAGGGGTCATAACACCTACCTAGCAAGAGTGAGGTTGTGAGTTTGACTCCTGGTACAAAAAAAAAAAAAAAAAAAACTAAAGGGGAGCCAGGTGTGGCAGTGCACACCTATAATCCCAGCACTCAGGAGGCTGAGGCAAGAGAATCATTGCAAGTTCAAGACCAGTGTGGACTAAAAAGTGAGCTTAAGGCCAGCCTGAACTGCATAGCAAGACACTGTCATAAATCAATCAAACAAACCAAGGGGGCTAGGCATGTTGGCACATACCTACAATCCCCTACTCAAGAGGCTGAGGCAAGAGGACTGCTGTAAGTTCAAGGCCTGCCTAGGCTACATGGTGAGTTCAAAACCAGACTGAACTACATAGTGAGACCCTATCTCAAAATCAAAAACAAAACAATGACAAAAAAGGGAAGATGAGCACTTCAGATTTAAGTTTACATAAAAATTTAAACAACATAAATTAAATGAAGCTGAGGGAATTTTATAATATGAGCTGCAACACAAAATATGGTCCATGTTTAGATTTCTTTAAATGTATTACCATAAAAGACACGTCATCATTAATCCACCTCCAAATCCTCCCCCTCACTTTGAAAATATCCCACTGTTCTTGCTACTTTCTGAAGCAGTTCTGAAGTCCTCTTTCCCGAGTCTCTTTCCGCTGTTGTGGCTGCCTTGACGTGGTGAATCAATTCAAAACATTTACCTTTCATGGTCGTTTTGACTTTGGGGAAGAGCCAGAAGTTGCCTGCTGTTTTTAGCAATGTGTCATTTATTACAGTAACTTTTTTAAAAATTTAAACATTCATCAAATTTTTCGATCTCCCCTACACTAAGCACTGGACCAGACGCACAGAGAAATACTATGTCATTTTCACCTCAGCCACGCACAGTCTACCTGCTGAAATGAAGCAGGCACATGTGATTCTACAGTCACCATCACACACAGCCTGGAGAGAGGGAAAGTCTTTTACTGTGTTCTGACGTAACAGCTGTAAACCCACATTCAGGGCAATTTGTCTGCATTTCTAGACTTTGTGGCTACCTAGTTTACACAAACACAGAAACTTAAGTCAGAGAACTCTACCTTCCAATAATTCCTCAAAATCATCTACGAAGAACTCCTTCAGAGGAGGGCGCTTTGGCCTCTTCAGGGTATTTAAAAGCTGCTGGATTTTGGAGGACACTCTGCTGTTCACAGGGACACCTGTCAAAGAGGAAACAGGAAAGACTGAGGTCAGGATAATTCACACCCACAGAAGAGTGTGCCAGGCACAAGGCACCATCAAACGGTCCCTCGGAAATCAATCAACTCACTGACATGTATTTTCTGAATGTCTTCCAGGACAGGTCTGGCTCTAAGCTAGCAGTTTCTAAAGTGTCCCTTACCAAGGTTTATGAGGTCAGGACCATTCTATAGTAATACAAAGACATCATTTGCGTTTCTTGATTTCCAGGCACACGCATGTGATATGGCTACAGAAATGTGAAAAACACATGGGAGCCCAGGTGTTTTGATTAGCTAGTCAAAAGAGACTGGCAGAGATTTTTGGGAAACTTTTTTCATAAGTATGTGAGATTTATGTCAACAGTACTGAATTTATTATTTTTAAGGGAACTAATAATTTTTAAAATTTTTAATTTCTAATATGGCAAAGATTAAGAGATACAATCCATTCAAAGTAAAACCCCTTTGTAACTCCCTCGGTAGTTATTAAGAAACACTATTCTGTTCTGAGAGACAGAAAGTTGATCAGAACATTGGTCAGAGTTTGCCTCTTACCTCAGTGAGCTCCCAGTGTGCTGCCCAAAATCAGCAATGTGTACCAGTGCTGGGGTGAAGGCACCCTGTGGGGCAGTGCCCGGAAGAGCCAGCTAGGAGTCAGCCAGGACTAGCTCCACGCTCTTCCGCAGGGCTAGCAGTGCTGCCACAAGCCCTGGTTCTCTATGGAGCGGGTAGGGGCTGAGGTGTGGACACTGGGGGGGCGCACAGCTTTCCACACACAGGGTGACAGCACACAGAAGGTCCATATGTACATTTGTGGGCCATGTGCTCTTCACACACAGCACCTGTGCACACACCACACGCATACACAGACACACGTATTCGTGCAGGACATCAAGTCTTGCCTCTCCTTGCATGTGTCTGGGCTCCCCTTCTCCCAAGCAAGAACCCCTGCTACCACCAACAGTAACACCTTTGCTACTTGCCCCATAAGAGCCCCTGTCTAACATAATTCTAGGGCTGGGCTGCAGCTCAGAGGCAAGGCACTTGTCTAGCATGTGTGAGGCCCTGGATTCAATCCCCAGAACTGAAAGAAAAAGTTTTTTTCAAATTTCTTCACTCATAGCACTACAAAGTAAAAGGAGCTGAGAGTCTCTTCAGCCTGTGCAAGGAAGGCCAGGGCGTCCAGCCAGACCCGTGCTTGCGCTTTGCTTCTCGCAGCCCTGCCCTGCCCTGCCCACTTCACAGTGGCCGCAGCACATGCATAGGTGAGAAACACTGAACGCGGTATCTGGAAACCTGTTGGCGTTAGCCAGCACACTTCTCAATAAAAGATGGAGCAAAACTGGAGGCACAGAAGACAGAACACATCTGGGGCTGAACGCTGAAAATGAGAAGATGACACATCAGAACGTGTGCAGTGACTGAGAAGGGGGTCAAAGCTCCCATGCTGAAGAAACAAGAATGGAGTGAACTCAGTGAGCAAAGACTCACCCTAAGAAATGAGGAAAAGAACAGCAAAATAACCCAAAGTAAGTAGGAGTGAAGAAATAATAAATAGAAGAGTGCAAACCTGCACGACAGGAAAAAAAAATCAGAAAAAACAAACCAAAAACCACTTTTCTTAAACATCAATAAAGTTCAATAACCTTCTTGTTAGATGGACACACTAAAAAGAAAGGAGGAAATCCTGAGGCAAAGCAAGGGGCCCACTCTTGCCATTTCATTCAGCATAGTAGAGGAGTTCTAGCCAGAGAAACCAGGCAAGAAAAAAATTAAAGACTCATACCGTAGAGGAGGTAAATTATCTGTTTTCAGAGTGTATGATTTGCTTGTAGAAACCCTATGGACATTCCCCTCTACACAACTGTTAGAACTAATAAATGGACACAACAAAGTAGCAAGAAAGAATCATACAAAAGTCAGCTGCATGCCTATACACTGACAGTGAACAATCTGAAAAGGAAATTATAAAAACAATTCCATGTACAACAGCATCAAAAAAGAAATTATGCCAGGCCTGGTGGCACATGCCTGTAATCCCAGCACTTGGGAGGCTGAGGCAGGAGGACTGTCATGAGTTTGAAGAGAGCCGGAGTGTTACATAGTGAGTTCAAGGCCAGCTTGAACTATATAGCAAGAGCCTGTCTCAAAAAAAGAAAAAAAAAAAAAAAAAAAAGAAAGAAACCAGTGTAATTTACTATTTAAAAAAAAAAAAATACAAAATAAAATCCATGATCATTTCACTAGATAACAAAATAATTTACCTAGGCATGGTGGCACATGCCTGTAATCCCAGCACTCTGGGAAGCTGAGGCAAGAGGATCACAAATTCAAACCCAGCCTGGACAACTTTGCAACTTAGTAAGACTGTCTCAAAACAAACAAATTTTTAGAGCTGGGGCTGTAGCTCAGTGCAAAGACACTGGGTTCACCTTATCCAGAAAAAAGGTTTCCTAAAGTAGAATTCAGGGAAGAGTCAGAAGATAATAAATTTAGTGATGATTCAGATGATGACTTTGTACAGTCCCAGAAGAAGTACCTCAAAACCATCGAGGAGCGCCAGTTGCTTAAGTAAAGTAGCACCACCAGCGTGTGTCTGCTGAAGACTTTTCGTTTTTCAGTAATTTAACGTCATCATAAATAAGAGTTTGCAAGCTCTGTTTTTGATGTTTACTAGACTGTGATTTCTTTAATAACCTATTTCTTTAAACCTCTTATTTAAAAAGAATGAAAAAGAGGAAATGATTGGAAAAAAAGAAAATGAAGGAGGGGTGAGAGAAAGGATGGCAGAAGAAAAGGAGAAAAAAGTACCAATAACGAAAAGGCTGTTCTTCCCACTTCTTGAAGTCAGAACCACGGTCTGGAGTGATGGCTACTGCAGGAAGGAAAAAGACTTTCTGTGAACTCAGCTGAAAAGTTAAGTGGCTTGATGGTGTGTGTTAACCTACCACCCATTAATTATCACCCAACCACAGACCTAGGTCTGAGGGGGAACCAAGCAGCGCAGCAGAAGGATGGACCAGATGCCGTTCAGAAGGTTCCTAATAGAACCTTATGAGAGATGGCACTTGTATTAAAAATCAGGAAAGCAAAACAAAACAAAAAAGACACTGGGTTCAATCCCCAAAATTTCAAAAAAAATCCTTTGATAAAAATAATGACAAAACCTTCAGAAAACGAAAGGAAAGCAAATTTATCAATCTGCTCAAGGATAATAAACCTATATATAGTATCACAATTGAAAATGGGAAACAGAATACTTTTTCTAAGACTAGAAACAAGGCAAGAATGTCCACATGCAACATTTCTAATCAACACAGTACCAAAAGTTCTACACAATAAAATAAAGCAAGACAAATAAAAACACACAATTTGGAAAGAAAATATAAGGCTGTTTTATTCATAGCCCATATAATCATGCATTAGAAAATCTTAAGGGTTCTACTAAAGAAAATGCTACTAGAACAAATAGAAGATCAATAATACAACATCCATTGCATCTCTATAGCTTAACAACAAGTAATTGGAACAAATCTTAATACTATTTACAATTTACAACTGCATCAAATACATAATGCATTTTGGGATCATTTTAACAAGTTATATGTAACACTGCTATTGCAAGCCACAAACTACCTGTGAACACGACTGAGATTTTTTTTCAAAGATCTGAATAAAAGGAACTCTACCATGTTCATTGTCTGGAATCTCCAAGTTGCCCTGGAGATGCGATGAAGTATCAGCCAAAATCCCAGCAGGATTTTTTTTACAGAAATGACAAATGGATTTTTATATATTAAATGCAAAAGAACTGGAATAGCCAAAGCACTTTTTAAAAGGAGACATAGAGAACCTGAACTATACACCCTCAGGAAATCTGTAGAGCCACAGCAATCATGCCTACACACGGTGCGGCGCCAGACGAGAGCAAGAGCAATGGCCAGCACTGCGGGGACACCCCCGCGTACAGGGTCTCCAGATCTTCTTAAAGATGCCGTGAAGCCAGGCAGAGGCATGGTCTTCACAGTAAGTGGTGCTAGAATAACTAGATGTCCATAAACGGAAACATTAACCTTACTCCTACCTCATACTTTTGCTAAAATTAGAATGAACTACACACTTAAATGTAAAACTTACAAGTATAAAGTTCTGGGAGAAAACTTTTGTGATCTTGGGTTAGCCCAAGATCTCGGCTCAGAGGATGCAGTTCTGAGGAGAGGTGCCAGGCAGCTGCGTGGAAGAGGCCCCCCAGAGGAGGACTGTTTGTGGGGTCACACACAAAGGAGAAGAGCCATAAGCAAGGACATTCGGAAAATCACTAATATCTCTGAGCCCGTACAGGGGAGCCCCACTGCAGCAGCCTCACAGGTGACTGGGTTGAGGGCTGCGGCACCTCGTGGACTGAGGCCCGCTCTGTCTGGGGCACTGCCACAACTATTCATCTCCTCTGAGGCTATAGGCCCAACTCCCTTTGTACCCAGTCTAGATCTGGAGTTCCTCCCTCCCTACTCTCCTGGCTCCCTTGCCTGGTCACTGTAGGTATTTCCCATTACCTCTGCATCCGATGCTGTCAGTGATAACATCCCCTGCACATACTAGCTTCCTTTCACACGCACATGGGTTACTACGGACAGTTGCTGAGGGTTGTTAAAGGGAACACATGAAGCTGTTTTCAACACCAGAAGGGAAAACCTGTACTCTGCTGTTTCAAAAGGAGAAGAAAGGGATGCTCACCACCTGCCGTTTCCAGGACGCTGCCACTGTACCCTCGAGGGACACCTCTCACCGAGGCCACCTGAGGCCGCTCACAGTGCGAGTGCTGCACAATGCCGGTGGTGACATCAGGAGGGGCAGAGTGCACATCTGCTTTTGAGAAACAAATCCAAGGAAAGGGGCTGTTACTTCAAGTGAGTGTTCAGCAGTTGTTCAAATCCCATTTGTACAGAGCTTCACGAGCCGAGTGCTAAGCGGGGGAATACAGTGCCCTGGTTAGCGCTGCCGTCCTGGCTGACCAAAGGCACGGGGAGAGTGTGTGGAGAGGCAGGGAGGTGCCGGGCTCCACTTGCAGAGGGGTCCAGACCCACAGTGACTGACCACAGCACAGAGGCTGTCGCCACAACAGCCTAGCGAGATCATACACTGACTGAATGACTGACTGACTGGTTGTGTTACTGGGTGGGCATAGAACCCAGGGTGTTTTCACTGAGCTACATCCTCAGCCCTTTTTAAAATAATTTTTTTTGTTACTTTCAGACAGAATTTTTGTTATTTTCTTAGCTAAGTCACTAAGTTACCCAGGCTGGGCTCAAACTTGTGATCGCCTTGCCCAAGCCTCCCCATGCGTGGGATTACAGGGGTGCCACCAAGCCCAGCCTGACAGGACTTTAGTTAGAAACTCCCTCTCAAGAAAGCAGAAGTTTGAAATCAAGTGTTTTTGGAACATTATCAAATAATAGCCAGACTTCTATAAATTACCCCCAGTCTTCTAAAAAGTATGCTGGATGTTACAAAGACACCACAGGTGTCAAAGACTGTTTCGCAGGCCTCAAAGACTAAAACTACAAAAATCAAAACTTGTCCCACGCCAGTTAAAAATGTTACAATGATGAGGCAGATGCAGTTGTACACTGCCTTGATCCCAACTACTCAGGAGGCTGAGGCAGGAATATCACAAGTTGGAGGCCTGCCTGAACAACAGAGTGAGACATCTACCTGAAAAAACATACCTGCAATACTGAAACCACAATCAACTTCTTAAAGTAAGATTAATAAACCAGGCATGGTGGCACTCGCCTGTGATCCCAACACTTGGGAGGCTGAGGCAGGAGGATCACTCCAAGTTCAAGACCAGGCTGAGCTACAGAGTCAGTTTAAGACCAGCTTCAACTATATAGTAAGACCCTGTCTCAAAAAACTCAAACCAAACAAACAAATGAAAAAGTAAGATTAGTACGACACTGTAAAACACAAAAACGATTAATAGTCTTCCTTCCATTGTTTCAATCTCCTCTTTTGTGCTCAGTCCTCAAGGCACATCCACTTCTCTCTTCTGAGTACTGGCTGGCTGCAGGGGTTATCAGTGCGCTTGGGCCGGCCACAAGGAAAGGCACTGCACAAGAACACGGACCAGGACCACAAGCTACCGTGACACCAAGTACAGAGACACTTGTCCACCTAAGAAAATCCATAGTAGCCTCTTCTGGGTGGAGACTGGAATCTGCTTAGTATTTCAATAGATGTACTGCCAGTCTTTCCCTGACACTCTTAACACTCGCAAGGAGGGGTGGCAAACCTCTGGCATGCGTGTTGCTTTCCTTTTAAGACAAAAGATGTTACTGTATGAATTGCTTTTTCTAAACTAAAACTTCAGTGTTCAGGCTTAACTGCAGTGCTGGCACTTTGTGATAAGGAAGTGGGTTTTGAGTTGCAGTTTGGGCACTCAAGGTTAAAAGACTTGGCATCACTGCTCTACAATGTTTAAATTCTGATCATCTATTATTTCATTAAACTAGCTACAATGCAAAGTAAGAACTTTTCACATATATAGAAAGCTGAAGTATATACCTTTTAGAAAAAGCTGAAGCTTAAATGACATAATTTCTACAACTTTTGAAAGAGCTTAATGTTAAACAAATTAACATTGTAAAGTATGTCTACCAGGAGCTTCTTTCAGTTTAAAAAAGAAATTTCCTCAAGCTCCCGAGTCTAGCAAAATTAAATGATATAAAAAATATAGGTAGAAAGAAATAAAGGTAAACATGGTAAGTTTTGTACTACGAAGTATTTTAAATACCTACAATAAAAAACTATACTCAAAAATTAATTACCCTAACTAAAAACTTAACTCCTTTTAAGTATAGGTATTTACATTTCTTTGTATCGGATCCTTAATCCCAAACTGAAACTAATTTTTAAAATTACATTTACCTAATATATTCTACCTCAATTTTTTTTTTACTTAATCCACTCTTTGCATATTTCTTTCCTTAGTTCCAGCTAGAGAATTATCTTATGTTAGAAGTAAAGAGTGATTTTGCAATAAAACAGGACTCGGGATGTGGCTCAGTGGTAGAGCTCTTGCTTTGCATGCACAAGGCCCTAGGTTCAATCCCCAGCACAACAACCACCACAAAAAAAGAAGAACTGCGATAAGAATAGGGACAATGAGTGCAGGCTGATCAAGCCTATCTAAAGCACTTGGGATTAGCACGTTACAGAAAAGAGAACTGTTTTGGACTTGGGAACACTGGTACACTTCGTTGCTGAGCATTCCTAACCCAAAAGTCTAAAAGAAATCCAAACTGTTCCAGCGAGATGCCTGAAGTTTCATTCAGATTTCAGATTCCTGATTTGCAGATTAAAGAAACTCAACCAGTATTACAAGATTTAGAAATTTAAGTCAAGTGTGCCCTGTGAATGGCATCCAACAATCTGCAGGAAGGCACTGAGTCCAAGTTGAGGTATTTTTTAAATGTACTAGAATTAACCACAACATATCTACGGGAGGTCAAGCAAATGGGAAAGGAAGACACATCTGAAAGACACACAGAGGTCAACCATCAGTGTAAGAAACAAACCCACATTACCAATACTGACAGCCAAGTTCTTCTTGGAAAATGGAAACACTCAATTCAAGCACACGTTAGAGTTAAGACTTTATTTAAAGGACACGCCACAACTCCTGAAGAACAGAAGGCTGTGTGCTCTCACAAGGCTCTGGCTGACTCTTCACGATGAACAGTCCTGCATTCCTCACTGACCACCAAGAACAGTACTGGGTACCCAGGGGTGGCTGAGGACCTGCAGCTGCTCAGTGCACCCTGCACCGTGTCACTGTGTCACTGAGAAGAGCTTCACGGAGCAGACACAATGCAACACTCTGGAGCCGTGTTTCGCTCAAGTGAGCTTTAACTGTGTGCTTCAATAAAGTTCATGTCCAGATAACAGAGAAAGAAAGTATAGTTCCAAGGCTGTCTTCAAGCTGTCTGTCAGCCTCCTTGAGGAAAGGTGGCCTCACACAGGACACCAAGCAGGCCATACCATCACAGTGGGCCATTTTCCAATGGGTACTGGCTCCTGCTGCTTTGGCAGGTCAAGCAGGGCCTCTGTTGTGGGACAGTGTGGGTGCAGATGAAGCACCATGAATCCCCACCTGACTTACACTGTGGTGTATACGACTCAAGCAGATAAAACACGAAGAGCGACGTGGATGTGCACGTGGTAGGTGCAGGGAGAGAAGCTGTCGGCCACTTGAAACCCCCACTCACCCCAACCATGCCCACATGTGAAGCCGATGCACTGGGGTGGCCCATGGGAATCCCACCATCCACCATAGGTATCCCGTAAGCACTCCCCAACTCAGTGCAGAGGGATCCAGAAAACAGTGTCAGCCCTGGCTTCCCCACTAAACAGCCTTGTGATCTCAGGAAGCTGTAATCACCTGACTTTCTGTCTTCTACATCTAGAAAAATGAAGGATAAAGATAGGTCTCCAACCATGATGACTGTACTTTAAGGTACCAAGACAGGAATGTACTTGGGTTTCATATACCAGCCCTATCCAGCTAACCACACCACTGCTTCTGTTTATAAACAAGGTTTCAAATGAGGGAAAGGTGTGGGGTTTTTTTCCCCTAAGATTAATGTAATCCAAAGTGCTACATGATTTAGAAAAGATCCACACATCTTTATAATAGCTTTGCCTGCTATCAAGTTTTCCAGTTGATGGGTATCTGAAGGAAGACAGCTGGGCCCAGCTATAGCCCCAGTCCCCTGCCCAGGACTTAGCCAGGTCTAGGGACCAAATATGGCCCTGTAGCCAAGAGGAAAGACTGACGGCAGGTAGCAAGCCAAGGGGAGTGTCACCACTACCAGCAGCTGCAAGAGAAGGAGAGGCCAGGAGCCATCAAGACACCATGTACCCCTGAGGCCTGCACGAATTGGCTGCCAGAGCCAGAAGCACAGAATTGCCTGTCAACACAGGTCCTTCCAGATGTGAGGTGGGTATGGGTGGGGAGTCAGCACTGAGCCCACATGCTACTGGTTTTCAGGACTGAACATGGATAGCACGTTAAAAATAATCCTCCACTGCTGAGGGGTGCAGTGATCCAAAATTCAGAACCAGCCAGCATATGATATCAGCCCTCAAACCTCAGTCCCTCGGCAGACCAGGGTCGGACCTTGTCCTGCTGGCCACGGCGGCTGTTACTGACCTATGTGGGCGTGGGCCGCGAGGCCTGAGAGCGTGGTGGCGGCACTGGGAGCAGCGTTGGGTCTCCCTCCCGGGTGAGATGAGGTGGAGGATGCAGAGGATGAGGTGGACGAGCCCTGAATGACCCGGTCGAGCCAGGGCTCAATGCCAGGATGGCTCTGGAGCGGAGTGGAGGTGAGTCGCCCAGGTCGCCGTAAAGAGCCCTCATCTTCTGAGGCAGATGACGTGTCTGTGGTTAAAATAACGATGACAGGCATGATGTCGGGATGGGTCAGGAGGGGCGGCCCCGCCACCCAGGTGAGCAAGTGAGCACCTTGGGTCACCTGGACCTACAAGGGCGGGCAAGAGCTCAACTGCGGGGAAGTGGGCCCAGGAGTCTCAATCTCCCCAGAGAGGCCTTGGCCACAGGCACCACACAAGAGGTGAAGAGAGCCTTGCACCTCTGAACAAGGGACACCCCGCTGGTGACATGCTCTGCTGCTGCACAACTACACAGTCAATACCACACCCAGGGGGGTCCTGGGTGGGCAGGAAACCCACAGATGGTGTGGCTGTGGGGGCTGCAGCCTGTTTCTGGGGTCCTCATAGGGAAGCAGGTGAATCACCTTTAGAAAGAATCCCCTCTCCAAGACAGGGCTTCCCTCAGGCGGCAGCTGAACTTAGGTTCCATCGAGTCAGTATAACTGCATTTGCTTTTCAGGGACTGGGGATTAAACCCAGGGTCTTCGCACACAGCTACATCCCCAGCCCTTTCTTCTTTATTTTGAAAAAGGATCTTTCTAAGTTATTATGTTGCCCATGCTGGGTGTTTACTTGGAATCCTCCTGCCTCAGCCCCCCAAAGTGCTGGGATTACAGACACGCACCAGCAAACCCAGCACAAGTGACTGCGTTTTATTATGAGTTTTACAATTATGAAAAGTTTTTATAACTGGATAATATTTATAGCACTGTTTAGCAGAAACAATAATTTGGCAACCACTTCTAAGGTTTTTTTTAACACTAAACTTTTTTCCAAGCAAAGACGCATTATCAAGAGCACTAAATTATTTCATGCATCTGGTATGTTTGGTGTTCACTGTATAATAATTGTAAATGCATCAAGTCAAAACTAGTGTCACCATTTTTGCTTTTAGGGCTATGAGGAGCAGTTGTGGAGGCTTATGGGTGTGAAGCCACCGGACCCTAATGCCTCGGTCCATATACAAGTTCTTATTTCTGGTTACAGCAATAAAACCACAAAATACGCCCAGAAACATCCAGTCTTATACTATCTCATATAAGTCCTGGTAACAACATATTAACAATAGGGTAAGATGACAATTTTAAAAGTCTTAATTTAGGAAGCTTTATTATTCCTCTGAGTACTTATTTTAGATTTTTATCTTTACTAAAAGATGTAAGTAGCATCTTAGGAAAAAAAAATACACACACACACACACACACACACACACACACACAATATCCAAGCAAAAAGTCCTGCAGAATGCAAGCATCCATTTGGGTAAGGATAATACTGTGTATGCTGCAGATTTCCAGGTAAGGAATTTGCACGTATACATTTTTCATCTCCAAATTTTCTAAATCCTGCTGCAGTTGGAAGGATATCCCACCTCAGTGGGTACATGCACTATGTCTCCTGGCCTCAGTCTCACACCTCTCTCCATACCTGGAGGGGTGTAGGTCTCCACAGATGAATGCACAAGGACAGAACGTCTTTTTGAAGGCATAGGCATCTTCCTCTCCTTGTATTTGGCCAAAGCTGCTTGCACAGCCTCAGTGTGGACATCTACAAGAAAGAATAGCAGTTGAAATGTTTTTACAAACTGGTTATGAAACAAAATTCAGATTTATATCTTCACTGGATATGAACGATGCAGAAGCTCTACCTACCAACCTGGGACATCCTACAGGTTTGTCCCAGACTTTCTTTAAACTTCCCACTGTTTATAGATTTGACTTCAGAACCAAGTAAATATTTCCACAGCTATAAATTAAAACAGCTGGGCACGGTGGCACACACTTGGAATCCCAGCACCAGGAGGCTGAGGCAGAAGGATCATTGCGAGTTTGAGGCCAGCCTGGGCTACAGAGTGAGTTCAAGGCCAGCCTGAACTCCATAGCAAAACCCTATCTCAAAAAGACCAAAAAATAGATAAATAAAAAGAAAACCCCCCCAAACTGAAAATAGTGACACAGACTGCATTCAGTTACCATCTTACATTATCCCAACAGATTTTTAAATAGTGGAGTTGCTCCAGAAATATATGCTGCAGACAAAGAGAATTACATAAAAAGCCTCCAACTTTCTCAGCACAGTGTTGGTGGTGGTGAGGGGACTGTCACAGTGAGGATTTTCTAAGTCACGTTGGATTCAGCAAAGGAAGGACACATGACGGTCTGACTACAACACCCCTGGCACCCTGGATAATGAGAGGAGAAGCAAGACAAATGCAGACAAACCTTGCATCCTGAATCTTAGTGGATTACATTATTTGAAACCCTTTGTTTTTTTGTGTTTTTTTTGTTTTTTTTTTATTTTTCTCAGGTACCGGGAACCGAACTCACGATCTTCCACTTGCCAGGCAGGCGCTTTTGCCGCTGAGCTAAATCCCCAGCCCCGGATTACATTATTTGAACAAATATGGTATTTTTTTCTTTAAAAAATATGTCTTAGCCATGCATGGTATTCTGTAAACCCAGCTACTCATGAGGCTGAGATATGAAGATCACAAGTTCAAGGCCAGCATGGGAGCTCAGCAAGATGCCATTTCCAAAAAAAAAAAGAGGACTGAGGGTATAGCTCAGTGGTACAGCACTTGCCTAGCACGCACAGAGTCTTGGTTAATCCCTAGCACCACCAAAACGTTAAAACAGAAATGTGCTAAGGTCACTACGATCTACAGTAAAATTCTCTCTTCTATCTGTGAGATAGTGAAAAAGAAAAAGAGAAATTTGTAAGGTTTACTGTCACACCTCAAACTGCAAAAGTTATAGCCAGGGTGCATGGTAAGTGCTGAGTTCAGGTGTGAACGATACTAAACATGCATGTGTATGTACAGGAAGAAACGTGTGCACGTGGGAGGCACTTTGCACAGTTTCAGGCAACCACTGGGGGTCTTGCAATGGAACCCCAGTGAATCTGAGGACAGGGCAGGAGGATTATTGTACATTCTTTTCAAATACTGAGACCAAGAATATTATCACATCTACATGACACAACCTAGCTAAGGTTTGCTTCAAAACCATATGGGAGAGGAGAAAGTGCATGGAGTGTAGGTGAGTTCATGGCTGAGCAATGAACAATAGTCCTGAGGTGATTACACAATATACGTTTTGTATATATTTAAATTTTTCTCCAATAAAAAGTTTTTTAAATATTTTTTTTTGAGACAGGGTTTTGCTTTGTAATTCAGGATTGCCTTGGACTCCCTTTGTAGCCCAGGCTGGGCTCAAACTCACACCAATCCACCTGCCTCAGCCTCCTGAGTGCTGCGATTACAGACGTGCGCCACCACACCTGACTAAGTTTTTTAAATATTAAAAACCTTACATTTAAATGGTATATAGAGTATTAATCAAAAAATGAAAAATCCACACCTAGATGCATTAAAATAAAATTTATGCATATCAAAGATAAGAAGACAATTCTAAAAGCTTCCAGAGTGGAAGGGCAAGTCACCCTGAATAAGCATGGCCAACACTCAGGAGTAACAACAGGTGCAAGCAGACAACACGGCACTGAAAGAAGTGCCCAAGCTAGAATCTTTACTACCCAGGAAAGTTATCATGTAGACCTGAAAGTTTAACATAAATATTCTCAGAAACATACGGCTTAGAAAGCATTCCCACACAAGGACTCAGCTGAAAGGCCTCATGGTGGAAGTTGCTCGGAAGCAAGCGAGCTTCCATCACAGATGGAAGTCACTGCAACCACATACTTTAAACTTTACTGCTGCCTTAAAAAAATAACACTACAGATAAAATAACCCAGTGCTAAAAATCTAGACAACATAAACCGAAAGACTTAAGAAACTTAACAGACCTCAAGCGCAAGAAACAAACAGCACCAGGTACATCAAAAACAAACCACTCAAAACCAATGTGTCTTGGTCTGCTCGGACTGCATGATAAAGCACCACAGACTGGGCTTAAACAACACAAATTTATTTTCTCAACATTCTAGAGGCTAGAAATCCATAACCATAGTGCCAGAACTGTCGATTCTAGGTGTGAGCTCTCTTCCAAGGCAGCTGCCTTGTCCCTATATCCTCAACTGGTGGGCACATGGTTGGTTCTCTCAGCACAAGGGCTCTGACTCCAATGCAAGGACTCCACCCTCACACCCTAATCTAACCCCATACCTCCCCAAGGCCTCTACTTCAAATACCATCTCCTGGAGTTAAGTAAGAGCTTCAATATATGATCTTGACGATCCACTTAGTCCACAGCACAGTGACAAGAAGAAAGATCTTAAGCACGTTACATACAAAGGAACACAGATCAGAAACAAGGTCAGAAGACTGAACTACTGATTTCAACACTAAGAGAACATGGTAAAGACAGAGAGTACAGATGGGGACACACACACACCTATGTGTAACTTCTTTTATTTTTTTTTTGTTTGTTTGTTTTGTTTTGTTTTTCTCCGGTACCGGGAACCGAACTCACGACCTTGCGCTTGCCAGGCAAGCGCTTTTGCCGCTGAGCTAAATCCCCAGCCCCGTGTAACTTCTTTTAGACAGAAGTGTGAGGAGAGGGCCTGGGGATTTAGCTCAGCAGCACAGCACCTGCCTGTCAAGTGCAAGGTCGTGAGTTCGATTCCTGGTACCAGAAAAAAAAAAAAAGCTCAGAAGTGTGAGATTTCAGTGGAGAAAGCATTGTGTTCTTAACAAATGGTGCAGGTGCAATTAGGTATCCATATGCAAAAATGAGTAAATATATTGATCCATAGCCTGCATTTAATAATGAAACTGAGAATGCATAGACCTAAAGTTAAAACCTAAAACTATAAAACTTCTATAAGAAAATATAAGACAAACCTTGAATTAGGCAAAGATTTCTTAGACACAAGAACAAAAGCTTTTTTTAGACACTAAAAAAACTGGTAACTTAGACCTCAGCAAAATTGAAAACTGCTTTTCAAGAGATACTTCAAGGAAATGCAAAGACAAATCACAGCTTGGGAGAAAATACTGGCACATCTTGTTTGTAATAAAAGACTTGTATTCAGAAGACAGAGAATCAGAATCTACTATATGGTTCACAAGGATAGAAAACAATTTATTAACCCTGATTACATGGAGGTGTGGGATGCAAGGGGTGGCACAGAAAGGGCACCTTGCATATAATCCTATTCATGGGTATATCCTGGGCTCCATGAAATGCTGAGTATGACCCTCAGGATTTAGAGATGTTAGGTGGCTTTGTCCCTAAACTTGGTATAATATCTTACATATATTTGACAGTAATGATGTACAGTATTACAAAAAGTGAGAAAAGAAACTTTCAGTGTAGTTAGGTTTTTTTTAAGTATATACCAAATTAGTGAGAAATTTCTAGTCAAATATTTCTTAGACCATTTCTTCATATTCCCATGCTAAAGAAAAACACTTGAAATCTTAATGTTCTTTTTTGGTATTTTTAAAAATCACCTATTGAAATCATTACACCTATTGAAAGCTTTCCTGAGACGGACTTAAATGTTCAATCACTAGGCAAGGTGGTACACACCTATAACCGCAGCACTTGGGAGGCTGAGGCAGGAGGATCACTGCAAGCTCAAGGCCAGCCTGGGCTACACTGTGAGCTCAAGACTAGCCTGAACTGCACAGTGAGACCCTGTCTCAAAAAGACAAAAAAAAAAAAGAAAAAGAAAAGAGAAAGAAACAATCACACAATATAAAAATGCTGCTAAACAAGTGGACTGCTCAAAGCTATCAATCTGTAAACTGTAAATGAAAGCAGTTTTTTCAATGAGCATTCTGATAATCCAAAATTATAGATGAATTTAAGTATTTATAAAAGCACTGACAATGACAGAACTTGAATCAAAAGGAAAGCACCAAGATTATAGATTACAAAGTAAAGAAACAGTATAACACACAGCAACTCCATAACGCACAGAAATTGTGACAGCAGAGCCTAATTCTCTGTGGAAAATGGGCAAAGCTAGTCATACAGATGATTGTGTCACAATGGGAGAAAGAGCCCTCCCAAGTTCTGTAAGCCTCCTCTAAGAAAACCAGCATGTAAGACATGTGACACATTAAACAGACTGGTTAGGTGAAGGCTACATTTCTTTTTGTGAGACACAATCTTGTTACGTTGCTAAGGCTGGCCTCGAACTTATTCTCATGCCTCAGCCTCCTGAGCGCTTGGATTATAGGTGTGCACCATCACGGTCAGCTAAACTCTTTTCTTGAACAACACGACGATGATGTAAACCATTGCTTAAGTGAAATCAGTTCCTTCAGCACATTTTGACAGAGAAAAACTAACCAACAGCTTCAGTGGCAGGAATACAAGTGTCTAGCCAGTCCACTCCTCAGTCCTGGGTGTGAGCTTACCTGACCGGAAGCGCTCGTCCCTGGAGTTGGTGGGCCGGGACTTCTGTGGTTTGGGTGCAGCTGTTGTCAGGGAGGGCCCAGACAGTCGATTCTCTGCTTGCAGGTATGGGTCTACTCCTGGAACATATTTTCAAGGAATACTTTCTGTAAACAATGTTCCAAGTTACAGAAAATCCATCTAAAACACAGGTGTTTCCCACTGTGGCCAAACAGTACCTACTGCACCAACAGTGGGGCCTTCAAAGCACAGCACGGCCTTGGCCCAGGGCCAGGGCAGCGTCCAGGTCCATGTGACCCTCTCCCCACATCACCATCTGTACAGCTGACTGTCACACAGCCCTCTGAACATCCTTGGCAACACAGGACCAGCAGCTCCCATCAGATGTGGTAGTCACTGGACGCTGAGGCAGCAGGCTCTGCAGAACGCCCCCGGAGAGCCTGCTTCCACAATGTTGCTGTTGCCCGACTCTGGAATGGCTTGTGTCAATTGTTCCCCACTTTCCCCAGCATCAGCAAACCCTGAGTGAGAACAGCTTACCGGGGGGCTACCAGTGTCCCCCAAATAGAGACAGAGGTGAAAAGGTAGAGGAAAGAGCAGCGAAAGCAACACTGTGAGGGTGATACTGGCTACCAGGTGTGGAGAGACCAGCGCTTAGCCAGCAGCACCAGCCATGGCTGTGCCACCTGCTTGGTCTGCAGTGGCACCCGCCTATAACCCTAGCATATAGTATTTCAGAGTTAGTAGGTTTCAGCTCATAGCTGACTACTTCCAAGGCAGGGCAGCATGGCAGAGGGGCATCAAAGAGAAGACAGCAAGCAACAAGCAAGTAAGAACCACAGCAGCTGTTTCTGTCCCTTATATCCTATCTAGGCTAGGCAGCACTCACACCCTTAACCCTAGCATCCCACTATGAATCAAATCCACCCTCATTCTCAATCCCAGCATCACACACCCAGCTCCACCTATCACATGAGGCTTCAGGGGGACATCTAGACACATCTAGACACAAGCCTTAACACTGTCTTTTCCTTGTCAGCTTCTAGGTCTCCAAACTTGCTGTGAAGATAACACCCAAAGGTTATACAAATATTCTCCTGAATTTAGCAATTGTTATAATTTAAAAGCATATTCAGAGCTTTGATTCTTCTCAAATTTATGCTCACAGATGTTGCAGAGAAGAGGGTTCTGGCCTCCAGAAAGTCAGCACCAGCAATGAAATAAACCCTCCCTCCTGGCCTCTCCACTCACTGCTGGCCCTCTTCCTCCACTGACATTTACCCTGCACAAGAACAGCCACCTGTGATTACGTGGGACCCTATACTCTCCGGCTTAACGTCTCAAAGATCAGTCCCTTCACACTAGTATTACTTTTCAAAAATGTATTGGCCATTCTCGAAATTTTTCTCTTTCTAATGGATCTTTACTTCCAAGCCCAAGGCTTTATTTTTCCTACTGTCTGTCTTTTATTTCGTACTTTATTTATATGTTTGTGTTTGTATGGGAAAAATGGCTACAGTCTTTTGTCACCTGATGCAAAATTTGCAAACAAAAATAAAATTTTGCCAAATGTTTCAGCTTGCAAACTAAATTGTTTAGAAACAAAAGTATTTGTGAACTGAGTTACCACTGTATATTGAGTTTCTCTTATAAGACAAACCATGCAACAGTTGAGCTTGTATATCTGATTTCTTTCACTTAACATTCCTACCAATGACTCAAATTTATCTTTTATGGCATAGTACTCCATGGTGTATAAATACTACATTTTCCTTATTCATTCATCTGCTGATGGACATACAGGTTGCTCCCAAGAGTTAGCTATTATAACTGTGCTGCTATAAACATGTGTGTGCATGGACCACTGTAACGTGATATTTATAACTCTTTTGGGAAGATACCTAGAAGAGGAATATCTGGGTCAAATGGAATTTCTGGTTTTACTTTTTGAGGAGTCTCCATACTGATTTAATCTTCCTTGTGGTCACACTGGTTTACACTCCCACCAGCAATGCAGAAGGGTCCTGTGCCCCACCCCCAGCCTCTCCAGCTCTGTTCTCTGATTTCTTGATAACAGCCATTCTCTCTGGAGGAAGACGGAATCTCTGGATTATTTTAATTTGCATTTCTCAAATGATGCTGACTCAGTGATATTGAGCACTTTTTCATGTATTTATTAACCATTTGTACTTTCTCATCTGAGAAGTATCTATTCATTTCAGATTTTCATTTTTTTGAGTGGGTCTTTAAATCTGACAGGTCTAATTTTTTTGAGTTCTTTATATATTCTTGGTATTAGTCCTTTAAAGAGTAGCTGGCAAAAAACTTTCCCATTCTATAGGTTGTCTCGTCCCTCTTTTGGTTGTTTCTTTTGCTATGCAGAAGCTTTTTAATTTGATGTGATCCCATTTATTGATTCCTGATATTACTTCTTATACATCTGAGGTTCTACTCAGAAAGTCTTTTCAAGAGTTTTACCTATTTTCTCTTCTAGCAGATTGTTTCTTTTTTAGTATTTAGATCTTTGATCTTAGTTTAGTTCATGGTGAGAAATACGGGACTAAATTAAATCTTCAGCATGTGGATAGCCAGTTCTCCTGGGAATAATTGTTAAAAAGGCTATCTTTCCTCCAGTGAAAGCATTTAGTCCTTTTGTCAAAGATCAATTAGCTGAGTGCACCTGGAGTTGTTTCTATATCCTCTACTCTGTTCCACTGATAAATAAGTATGTTTTTTGACAATAGTATGCTGTTTTTATCACTACAACTTTACAGTATAACTCGAAGTCCAGGACTATGATGTCACTTGTCTTGCTCTTATTGCCCAGAGTTGATTTTCCTATTCTAGGGCTCTTCTGATTCCAAATAAATTTTAGGACTCCTTTCTCTACCTCCATGAGAACTGCTATTGGTATTTAATTGGTATTATGTTAATCTGTGTAAGAGTTTTGGAAATGTGGCCATTTTGATACGGTGGTTCTGCCTACCAAGGAACAAGAAGTATCTCCATTTTCTGATGTCCTCTTTGATCTCCCTTTTTGGAGTACTACAGTACACTGTAGAGGTCTTTCACTTTCTTGGTTAGGTTAACTCCTAAGTACTTCATTTTTTTCATGCTATTATGAAAGGTCTTATTTCCATAATTTCTCTCTTGGTGAATTTATTATTGATATACAGGAACACTATAGTGATTTTTGAGTGCTGACTTGGTAATCCTGCTGCACTACTGAATTTGGTTATTCATTCTAGGAGTCTTTTTGGTGCAGTTTTTGAGATCTTCTATGTAGAGCATATCATGTGCAAAAAATGATAATCTGATTACTTCTTTTCCTATTCATATCCTACAGAGAGCCCTTTCCAGTCCTCATCATGGCCCAGGAAGTTTGTATTTGTAATCTCATAAAAAGTTATTGGAATTCTAGTGAGTTAATTCCAATCTACCACTTTCAGTGTAAACCCATGGTGAGAATAAAGACACTAAGGCGTATTTGTAGTTCTGGAGAGCCAAGGGGCCCTAAGTCCAGCCACAATGATGGCCATCCAGAACAAAGGCCTCAACCCAAGGCCAAACCCAGGTTTTATTCATTCATGAAGAAGGGAGTGGCCTAAGGATGAGTGATTGTGAGAACCCTGGGAAGCAGGTGAGTGCCGTGTGCTGGGCCAGGTAGGAGGGCTGAAATCACCTCTGCAAATGCAGAGAGAAGGATATGCAAAAAGAGTAATCTGCATAACACAATTGAAATAGTATCTAATATTTTGGAGTGGTGCTTTAGCTCTGATGTGTAATGTTTGACTCCCCAGGAAGTCATAGCCTCTATCCCAAGGCTTGATCCCAGCAGACAGCATGGAGCATTAGCTCACACATCTCGCCTCATCCTGGCTCACATGTGGAAACAACAGAGGTTCCGGGAAAACACACCTGCCATCTCCAAAGATTACCTTCAGCACCCTGGCTAGACCAACATGCACTGCTTAAGGCCAATTAAAGGGATAAGGAAAAGTCCTAGCCAGCTCTGTATGTATCAATACATGGAAATAGGGTCAGGCTCAGCCAAAATGGAGGCAACTGCTCCTCTTTCAAGGAGAGTCACCAAGGTGGTCCTCCACAATATCCTTTTTTTTCTCTTGTCTAATCACTCTGGCTAATATTTCAAGAACAGGAGTGGAGATGGTGCACATTCTTGTCTTGTTGCTGATTTTAGAGGGAAAACTTTCAGCATCTCTCTATGTAACATGATGTTGACCATTAGTTTGTCATAGATGGCTTATATCAGATTGAGGTAAAGACCTATACCTATTTTCTTCAGGACTTTTTTAAAATCATGAGTACACACTGGATTATGTCCAATGCTTTTTCTGCATCTGTTGAGATGATCACGTGATATTTTGACCTTGCTTCTGTTTGTGTGATGTGTTACATTTATTGATTTGCATATGTTGAACCATGGCTGCATCCTTGGCATGAATACTACTTGGTCATGATGTATAATTTTTTTGATGATTTGCTGCATTCTGTTTGCCAGTATCTTACTGATTATTTTTGCATCTATGTTCATTAAAAAGATTGGTTCTTTTTTGGTAGGGTCCTTTTCTAGTTTGGGCATCAGGAATGTCTTTCATCCAGGAATGACTTTGGAAGTACTGATTCCCTTTGGATTTCATTAAAGAGTTTGAGGAGTATTGGTGTTAGATCTTCTCTAAGAAATTCAGCAGTGAATCCATCAGGTTCTGGGCTTTTCTTATCCAAGTGTAAGTTTAAGAAAAAAATCAGTCACTGTTATTCAGATTGGACTACACTATATTTACACACTGATTTAGAAACTCCAGTTTTATACTACTGTTTTTCCACCTAGGAAATTGGTATGTTTTTCCATATATTCAGGTCTTGATATGTCTCCCAAATAGATTTTGTGATCCTAATATAGGTTCTGTATCTTTCTTGTTAAATGTATTAATATTTAACAATTTATTTTCATCATAAATGAGGCTTCTTTCTTAATTTTTAACTTTACTTATTTATTTTTTCAGTTGTTTGTTTGTGTTTGAGTTTTTTTTGTCTTTTTTGAGACAGGGTCTTGCTATGCAGTTCAGGCTGGCCTTGAGCTCACTTTGTAGCCCAGGCTGATCTCAAACTCACAACATTCCTCTTGCCTCAGCCTCCCAAGTGCTGAGACTATAGGCGTGTGCCACCATGCTTGGCTTTTTTCAGATTTTTGAGACAGGATCTTGATAAAAAGTTCAGGACTTGAACTCACTATGTAGTCCAATGGCAATCCTCTGGTCTCATCCTCCCAAGTGCTGGGATTACAGGTATGTGCCACCAAGCCTACCTTATACATGCTTTTAAATTTAAGAACTATACAGAAAAAAATCAATGTAACCACTGTGCAGTTTGGAAATGAAATGCCTCAGAAGCCCTTGGCACTCTCTTGCCTCAGTTCCGTGAGGAAACCGTGGGCTGACTTCTGAGGGAGCCATTTTCTTCCCTTTCTTTATCAGTGCCCTAAGGGCCCCTGACTAGCTGACTTGGTATGCCTTCACACTTGCAAGGGCAATGCTCCTTTTGAGGCTTCCTGCACTCCCATGATCTCTATGAGATTCATCCTGGCTGCTGTGTGAGGTCTTCAGCTTCCCATGGAGGCTGGCACTCTGGCAGCCCGGGATCTGAGGAACACTCCTGTGCACAGAGTGACCACAAGGTACAAAGACGCAGTGAGTTCTGGGGAGGCCTGCTACACCTCTCAACCTTGCGTGACCAAAGTGCCCGCACACTGTAGGTGCTCTGCAGCATGGGGTGGGTTTAATCTGCAAGGTTATTTTTTTCAATGAAGTTGTATAAAACATATTATTTGTTATAAGACACTTGACAGTATTGACCTTACCTTGAATGAGTGGAATATATCGTGCCAGCAGCTTCGCCCTTTTCTTTTCATATCCTTTTTGAGTGATGTCACCTAAAACAATGGAAAAAGAGGATTATATTTCTTTTAAAGTTCCAACATTTTTAATTAAAAATTAATTTATAATTGGAAGCAACACTAATGTCTTTGAACTGGTGACTGGATCAGTCAACTCAAATGGGCCCACACCGTGGACTACAACTCAAGCAGAGCTAGGTGGGCAGATCTCCCATGTGAGCTGCTGACGAAGAAGCCCGACACCAAGTTATTCCACTTACATGACTTTGGAAAAGACAGAACTATGGAGCCAGGACAGACAAGGGTTGTTAAGAGCTGGGGAGGGGTGCGTCGTCAGAAGCCACAAGGAATGTATGGTGTGAAGCTGTCCTATGACATGGAGGCAGCAGTCACATAACGATATGAATCTGTCAAAAACTCAAAGAATTACATGCAAGGAAGGGTGAACTTTACTGTATGTAAATAATACTTCAGTTTTTAAAAATTGCGATTAGTAACTGTTATGGTTTGTATTAGATGTCCCCCGAAAGCCTCATGCACTCATGGGGGAGCAGACAGTCTTTTCAGAGGTAGCTGAATCTGGAGCGTGTGATGCTGGGATTAAGGGTGTATGGTCAGTTCACTGACTGGTTTGGCACCACCTTAATCCCAGAAGCCTAGAAGAGTAAAAAAGGGGCAGAAAGACACTATTAAAGTCACTCTGCTGTCTTGTGCCCACTATGAGCTGTTCTCCTCTGCAAAGCCACCCTATCTTGGAGTCGGCCAATTAAGGACTGAAATGTTTACAAACTATGAGGTAAATAAACTTTTTTCCGCCTTAACTTTGGGTGTCATGTTATTTTGTTTCAGCAACCAGAAAAGTAATCAACCCCTGGAAGCTTGTCAAAAATGCAGAGTCTGAGGCCACACTCCAACTCAACAGAATCCACATCAGCATTTACCCGACTTCTGTGCAGGTTCAAGTTTTGAAAGCACTGAAGAAAAGGATCCACCAAACTGAAGCCCTCTCTGGGCAAGGTGCCTGGGTGAGGACTTAAGAAAAAGGACTGCTGGGCCAGGGTTATAGCTCAGTGGCACAAGCGCCTGCCTGGCAAGCGCAAGGTCCTGAGTTTGATTCCTGGTACCAAAAAAAAAAAGGACTGCTATTCCAATCATTATCACGAAGACACGAAAAAACGAAGTAAAACACCTGGGAACAATGCAGAAGATGTGTCTCCAGGGAAACACACCTTTTTCCTACAGTGTTGGGGATGGAGCCCCCAGCCTCACACATGCTAGGCAGGTGCACTACCCCTGAGCTCCACCCCCAGCCCACAGAAGCACACCTTCATCTGTTGGTTCCAACACAGAACTGGGGTGTTAACAGCAGATCTTCAACGTTTTTCTGAAGACTTTATTTAGACCAGAAAATATGTATTACAGCAATTTTAACTACTACCTTTTGGTACAACTATACATTAGTACAATTTTCACTACTATTGTCCTTCATGCTTTTATTGTTTTCTAAGCCCTGTTCTATCCTCTGCCCTGCCCCAGAGAGCAGTGAAGGAAAATCTGAAGATCAGGTTGCTCTCACTGAGTGCTTACCAAGTGTTTCCCTTAGCTGAATTCATGAATTCAGTCTGACTGTAGTACTTATGTGAAAACGTGGGCAACTCTGTCTGACACCTAAATTAAGTCTACTGGAAGCTCTGGGTATGCGCTAAATGCCATCCTGAAGAAAAAGAGTGTGAGGCAGGTGCTCAAGTCCAGGCTTCCTGTAGAGTCTGTGGGATGGTGGCCACTCAAGCATACCCCCAAATGCTCCCTGTGTCTCCCCCTTCTGTACTCACCCCTCTGTCCACACCACGCTCCACTTCCATCCCCACAGCAACTTCTCTGTGCATTTTCTATGTCCTGCAGAAAGCGTGCCGCTCTCCCTCCACGTGTTCTCACCTGACCTGAACAGCACTGTACCATGAACCTCACTGATTCCTGCTTTCTTCACTGAATCCCCCATTTTTAGTACCGATGCACCCTCACTGCAACAAGCACACCTGATGCAGTGCCCTGACCCCAGTGTCCTTGGGACCACACCCTCATCTCACCCTGCACCCTGTTCACCTAATTCATGCATCAGACACTCACAACCCTGGTGCAGCCACTGCCCACCTGAGCATGTGCAGTGCTGCAGCTACTATCCCCATCGGGCCCAGGACACAACAGAATGGGTTTGCTTATAAAACTTAACTTGTGCACAACTTTAAAGCCACACACTTTGTAAAGCATCATCTATTTTAAAGTTTCCTCTAGAATATATTCAAATATGACAAATATAAATGGAAATTAAATGTTGCTCCACTAAATTAAAAACGATAAACCCCTATTTAAAAGCAGAACAGTCAGCTGAGTGTGGTGGCACAGGCCTATAATCCAGGCATCCAGGAAGCTGAGGAAGGAGGATCATGAATTTGAGGGCAGCCTAGGCCACATAGCTAGTTCAGGGCCAGCATGGACTAGAAAGTGAGACCTTGTCTCAAAAAATAAATAAATAAAAGCAGAACATGAATTTTCCAGAATATTTAAGAATCAAGCCTGTTCTAGAAACAGTCCTCCTACGCTCCCATTTCAAATGAGTGTTGGAATAATGAAGGAGGCCAAAGAGCAGGAGCTATGAAACTTGCTGATCATAGCCGGGTAATGCTCACAATTTACCAAAAGCCATCTCATTTTTTAAACTGAAACAAGTGAACATAATGAGCAAAAGATGCTCAACTTACATTGAGGTTGCATCCAATAAGCCCATCAGATTTCAAAATATTGTACCTAAGTTAAAATACATTTAACACACTGAGCTGACCAGGCAACCAACCCCAGCCCAGCTCCAGGAAGATGCTTGGGACACTGACTCCAGCCCCTGGTTGCACATCAGGAGAACACTACACCAGTATCACCAGCTTGGGAAAGGATCAAATTTTAAAGTGTGGTTTCTATTGAAATGTGTATCACTTTTGAACCACAGTAAAACTGAAAATCCCAGAAGGAGCCACCAACTCGAGGTCGCAATGGCCATGCCAGAATCGACAAGCCCAGGAAGGGGAAGGAAGAATTAGAAGATCATGTGATGTTGGCATAGGAGGACTTATCATGGTGACTTTAAGATGCTGGTTCTACTGCAGGGATAATAATGCAAAAAAAAGAATCCACGAAAAAGATGCCAGAAAAGGAATGAAAAATAAGATTTTATATGAAAGCACCCACCTTGATCCTGAAAGAAAACAAACCAACAATAGCAACTGAGCAATTTGAACACAGAAAACCAAAACAGAACTCCTTGAAGTCAGTGTGAACAATGTTGGGATCAAGTACACAGAGCATTTTATGCATACAATCCCAAAGCCATCAACTGAATAAATAAAGTATGTGTAAACCATAAAATAAATAAATAACTGAAAAACCCTAAGTTTGTGTTCCACTTTCATGTGTAATCAGTTACTATCTTTCCACTTGCCTGGCTTAGCAGCGCCCAACCCCACATACCATGGGATGCCAAACCTCTGACCACACAGAGCACGTGGGGCTGCAGTGGGGGGTGTGAACACAGAGAAGGGGCTCCCACCTGTTCCCTGCCTCCAAGTTCAACCCTCTCTCACACAACACCACACAGACAGACAGCAGAGTTGGGATGGCCCCACAAGGCAGACACAGCTCATTGGCACAGCACACAGATGCTGTAGGACTTTGAAAAGTCTGCTCCAGATGATATGACAGGCAGCTGCCACTGATCCCTTCTGCCACAGCACAGCCTTGCTTAGACACCAGTCCCAAAAGACCATGCACCTTTAGCATTATTATGTAATCTTCACATGTATATATAAACTAGCATTACCTGTACTATATTATTTTGAGACCAGATCTTGCTATCTAATAGACTGGCCTTGATCTCCCTGAGTAGCCCAGGCTGGCCCTGAACTTGCAATCCTCCTGCATTAGCCTCCCAAGTGCATGTGCCGCCATGCCTACCTTAGCTACATTTTTCATGACTCAACTGTGCAGTGCTTGAGCATGGACTGCACGGGTGCAGCACAATCCTGTGTGGGGCACGCCACAATCAGTAATAACTACCTCTCATGTCTACCACCATAGGTCCAGTGGAAACCCACAAGCATCTACCACTGTATGCACTTATGCAACCTAGCAAGTAAAATACAGCAAGTACTGATAACAGTATTCAATCAACCTACAAATATGATTACTGGTAAAGAAAGTGATTACTGCTATTAAGTACACAGGTTAAGTCTTCTTATTCAATTATTAAACTTGTGTTTGTTGTGTTGTTTCATAAAATAATTTGATGAGTAAAAATAATTTAATATTTATTTATACATACACATATATACATATATATATTAAATTATGTATTTTATATTTGGCCCAAGACAATTGCTCTTCATTCAAGGCCCAGGCAAGCTACAAGTTTGCAAACCACGCCTGAGGGTCACAAGAACAAGAGAAGAGGAGATAGTTTCATGACCATCAGGAAAGGAAGCAATACGGCTGCTACCCAGCTGCACCAGAGAACCTGTCAGCATGAAAACATGACCTGGCAATTGGGTTTCTGGGGTGAGGTCACTTACATGGACTTACCATTTCCTACTGAGTAAAAACGACAAGCTGATATTCCCCTTCTGGATATTTTCCCAGAATTAAAAACATCATACCACAGTGATATATGTGCACCCATGTTTACAGCAGTACAATCTGTCATAGCTAAATGGTGGAAACAATCTAAATGCCCCTCACCTGAGGCATGGATAAAAAAGATGTGGTACTTTTATACAATGGAGTACTACTCAGCTACAAAGAAGATAAACTTGAGGCTTTTATAGGTAAATGGATGCAACTAGAGACCATACTCATAAGTGAAATACATCAGACCTGCATGTATAAACATCATATTGTCTCCCTCATGTAAGAACATGAAAGAGTAAATAAAACCCAAAATGTACAATAGATATTATGAAAGGGAAAGAAATTGCTCAAAGGAAGGAACAACT